CCATCTAGCACGAGCTCGTTTTCACTATCCTATGTCTGAACATAGGCTTCGGTCGCAAAGTACGGTCCTGAGCCACTTGCATCCATCGACTTCCGGCATGTCTTACCAGGTTATCACTCCATACCATATCCTTTCCAGTCCAGTAGCTTGAAAGCGTCTTCCAATGCAGCAGTGAACAGTTTCGGGGATATAATGTCACCATGTCTTACACTCCTCTGAAGTTGGATAGGTTCTGTGCTCTGTTTTTGCACTCGTATAGCCATCGTAGCCCTACTGTACAAATACTTCAGCACTTCGATATACCGATAGTCAACTTGGCACCACTGGAGGGACTGCAGCAACGCAAAAATTTTGACGGAATCACAGGCTTTCTCATAGTCCACATACACAAGACTAAGCTAAGACTAAGTATTACTCGTTAACTTCTTAATTCTACTTAGCTGTGATACTTTTCCTTTTAACTTCATTATACTCGTATATACTACTATTGTTATATTGTACTGTATACTTTTCACATTTGCAAAAACAGCGGTTTAGTTGGTATAGGGGGGGGGGGGGGACCTGGCTGACCTGAATGAAAAATACCACTTTAAAGATAAATATTTCGCAAACGGACCCCTGAATCGAAAAGATTCCACATAGATTCCACACCCCCAATGCTTTTGAAAGATGGTCAAGACATGTAAAAAAAATCTTCCTCCATTTACTTGTATGGGAAGTACCCAAAATAAAAAAAAATGTTTTTAAGATTTTATTTCATAGTTTTTTAGGCGTGATTAATATCTATAACTATGCCAAATTACAGATTTGTAGCACCTAGGGTATCTGAGTGAAACCGCGGACGGACGGACGGACGGACATGGCAAAACTATAAGGGTTCCTTGTTGTGTAACTACGGAACTCTAAAAAGGGTGCCCTACTACCTTTAAGGTGAGTCAAGCTGCAGCTATATTATGGTTGCAGCACGAATAGTTCGGCTCGACCGGGGAACGGCCGCGGTCTTACAGAATACCAGTGTAAAATAGCAGCTTAACATAGAGAACCGAAGACTACATTTTGATTCTTTATCGAGGACAGATGTAGGTAGGTAGGTTATAGCATTTCAATTTACCATCAGGAAGACTGTGTGCTCGTTTGCTAGTCACAATTACTCCATAAAAAATGATAGAAAATCTTATAAATTCTTTTAGATCTTATTTATGTTATTGGCGGAATGAAAAAGAGGAAGAGATAAGAAAGCAGTGTTAATGGAAGATTAATTAACCATTGATTAGTGATTTGATTTGATTTTTTTTATTTTTTTTTTGATTTATGGAGAACTCTCGGACCTAGAGTTTGTGAGTGAGTTTGTTTACCTCGGATCGCTACTTTCGGACAGAGGAGGAAGTGAACAAGACATAAGAAGACGAATCCAAATAGCCAAAGGTGCAATGACTAGATTAAAAAGAATTTGGCAGAACAGAAAAATCTCTAATGTCACCAAAAAGAGACTCGTCAGAACTTTAGTGTTCTCCATCTTCCTTTATGGCTCTGAAGCATGGACGATTCGAGCAGCAGACAAGAAAAGGATTGATGCGTTCGAAATGTGGTGTTGGAGAAGGATGCTTCGGATACCATGGACCGCTAAGAGGACCAACGAATCGATCCTGGGGCAGATTCGTGTTGACACCAGACTCTCTACCACGTGTTACCAGAGTATTCTGAGTTACTTTGGTCATATTGCCCGACGCCCGCCTAATAACTTGGATAGACTTATAGTCGTAGGTAAGGTGGGGGGCAAAAGACCACGCGGCCGATCATCTAGCCGCTGGTCAGACCAGGTCAAATCACTCACTGGCCTCTCACTCACGACTGCAATGCAAAAAGCCGAGGACCGGACAGAATGGAGGGCTATAGTGAACAACGCTACGAAGGCACTAAAATACGGACACGACCTTCAGTTTTGAAGAACACGACCAAGAAGAAGAAGAAGTGATTTGACTTATGCTACGTTAAAAATTTTAACAAACAGATCATTATACAAACCAAAACTCCAGTGACCAGTGATTTGACACTCCGTTACGACCTAGCACTTCTTACTAGTTTGTGGTTACGACGTTAATTTACCGTTGTTTCAACTTTGGTGCAGTTAATTGATTTCTAAATTAATACAAAACATTTTTGATCTGTTCTCATTACATCAAGTATACATTTAGGACAAATAGTACAATGCAAAATGGCGCTAAAATGCTACCTATTTATATAAACGAGCCAGTAGAATTCAGCCTATATCAGACTACATTCTAAAACGCTAAACCTTGCCTTGGCAATGACTTTTTTAAAGGACCTGGAGGTGGAATTATACTTCCTTTTAAGAGCGTAAACATATTACATGCCGAGACGCTGATGCGTCAGTCCAGGCCCAGTAGCACTCCTGCTTATTCTATTTTACTGGAGCTACCAAACCATGGCTGGGATCTACCTCCGTTGGGTACCACAGAGGATGGAATAAAAAGTTCCATACCCTGAAGTACCACGTCAGCGACAGAAGCAGCAATAACGCTGGGATCGTCCGGCGAGCAGCAAACCCGCACCGTAGGATGCAAAAACAGACCGCATCCTATCCCAATCGGCGGACCTATAGTGCCAAACACGGCGGCAGCCTGCAGAATGCAACTACGACGTTAGTGTGAGTGTAGCTATATTAATTGTATAGTTGTAGCACGAATGGGTCGGCTCGACCGGGGAGAGACCGCGCTCTCACAGAATACCAGCGTAAAATAGTAGCTTAATGCCGCTGTGTTTCGTATTTTTACGTGATAGAGCCATGCTGCAGCTATATTGTGGTTGCGGCAAGAATGGTTAGGCCCGGCCGGGTTAGGAAAACGCTCTCACAGAATACCAGCTTAATGCCGCTGTGCTTTGTATGGTGAGTGTAGAGAACCGGAAACCCTTTTTACTGGAAACAAGGCAGTCTATCTTAGTCCTCAGGGGTGACACATAATATATCTGCACTTTGATTTTTAATCGAGTATAAATGTAGATGTCTTTGGGCCACAGTGTCCACTTATCATCAGGTGAACTGTGTGCTCGTTTGTCACCCTTATTCTATAAAAAAATCTCCTTTTTTGAAGTTGTTTGAAAAGGCTCAAAAACGGACAAATAAATCTTTAATTATCGTGTCTAAATTGTCACACGACAAGGACTTCGAAAAACGCTAATCTTCAATTCATGGTATACCGAAAAGTAAACGTTATTTTGCGGTAAACTTAAGTTAATAAAGCAGAGCACTTAATTTATTTTCGTCATGCCATAGGCTAGGGTCAAGTGGACCCACCAAGCAATGACACCGAACAAAAGCCAACCACAGAGCTACGGGACAGCTTTAGTGGTACACTATTTAGCGTTGTAACCAATCGAGTTGTCGCTTTTGATGACTTTATTTATGCCATTCCGCAAAGGGATAACACATTATCAGTTTCTTTTTCAAAAAGAAAAAAAACTAATAACACATTATCAGTTTTTTTTTGTCTGTGAGCCTCGATGTCTCCAAATACTGCATCCAAATTTTCCCTTGATTGTAATTTTGTTTTGTATTGACTCTGTTGACTAACGATGAGATTGTTCGACTGGGAGAAGTCGTTTTTTGGTTAGTCATCGATTAAGTTATTGATAACAATATCTTCCAGACCGAAATTCGGCCACGGCGGCCAGTCGCAACAGAGACTAGACATCTGAGCAGGACAGTGTATACAGCCCAAGTGTATGCGCAAGCACAGGTGCACTCTCTATTCCCTCACTCTCATAATATAATGGACGGTAAGTTGACACGACCGGAGAGAGATCAGGCGCAGGACCAACGGCTTTACGTGCCTTCCGAAAGTTTCCGAGGCACGGGAGTGAAACACCGTCAACTTCTGTCAACTCACTCGAAACACCGTCAACAAATCAACTCTGGGCATCTACTGAGAATTTCTTGACAAAAACCCAATAAGTGATTTTGTCCCGACCCGGGATTCGAACCCGGGACCTCATGAAAACCATCAGTAATCGCGTATACGATCACGGGACCACCGAGGCAGTCCGTATTTGATACAGAATAATTCTAAAACAATTTAAGCACATATATATTTACTGTAATATTTATACAACATGTAACAAAAACCTTGTGGTTCCCGTTAAGTACGTTATTAGGATCATTATTCAAACGTAGAGAAATAACTTTTTTTAAAAATTCGAACAATATTTTTTTAATTTATTAAAAAAATTGTTGCAAATTTTATGTGGTTTTATTACCTCTGCATTGTCTGGGGAGTAAGAGGATTGTCAAAGACCCCGCTTTACTTAGCTTTAGCATCGGCTAGTGTCAGTAAGAGGTAATAAAACCACATAAAATAGAATTTTTTTTTAATAAATTAAAAAAAAATATGGTATGTAGTTTAAAAAAAAGTTATTTCTATAGGTTTGAATACTGATCCTGATAACGTACTTAACGGGAATCTTTTGTTACATGTTGTATATGAATTTCGAAACACGTTATTTTTCGTCTTGATACGAACAAAATATAATGCTATATTAAGAAAGAGAGCAGGCAATTATTGATAGATCAAAATTTAATTACTTTGAGTGATTATCTAAAAATAACGATTGAATGGCCGTTGTATGTTCATTCATAAAAAATGTCCGCCATTTTGAGGAGGTTATAAAACGGAATCCGTCACAGTCACGCATCTCCTCCATGAAATAGGCCAAGGAGAAACATTGCGCATGCCTTGAAGGATTGATTTTGTCTATATGACGTCACAAAATGTCCGCCATTCGGCTAACTCTCTCGGTATAAAACCTAAAAAATATTTCTCATGATCAGTTTGCCTCAAAACCGTAGCAGATGTTAAAACTATTGAGCCAAAGCTTTCGGTGCTTTTTTAAACATAATATATTCTATTAAATCGTAACTCTAAATGATATAAAGAGAAACTCTCGTAGAGTCTTCTAGTGATACGGTTTCTAAGGCAATCAAAATGGTTTGTCGCGTTGTAGTTAGGAAAAATTTCTTCGCGGTCGTTGATAATACAGTCATAATGCTGGCGAAAATATTTTGTTTACGTGAGTATCAACCAATTTATTACATTGTTTGAAATTATACATCATTTTACTATTTTTATTAAAAATAAACAAAAACAAATTTTCCTATATTTTATTGTGATATATGATGATTTTTAAATAAATTTGAAAGCGACGGACAAGAAGTTATCAGGTAAAACCACATTTCATTTATGTTGTCTGTTTTCGCACTAGTTTTAGGTCGTAAAGGTCGTACAACTCTGGCAGCCTTTAACTTTATAAGAAAATGAAACCTTTTTTTAAAAAAAAAAAACGGTGGCCTACTTCGATCAATAATATTATGTCAAAAAATAAAACTGGCGCAAACTATAAAAATATGATGTGGAACGATAATTAAATTAAGGAGACTTTTTTTGTTTTATTGACTTTTTCTTGTCATTTATTAATTAATAATTAAACATAAGTTCAAACAAATTGTTTTATTCTTTAAAATGTTTTTGTTTATGATATATTTTTACCAAGTTAATCAAAATTAATTTAATTTAAGACTCCATTTTTTATTAATACAATTGAAGTTATAGTATAACTTCTTATTAACTTATGTACTAAATATTATCTCAACGATTAAAACAGTACTTTACAATACAATAAGTAATAGCACAATAACCTAGCTAATAAGCCTAAGTTTATTTATCATTTTTAGTCACTATGTTTTATCATCTTCGGTTGCATCACCTCTTCGGGTGGCAGTCAAGCACTGGTGACTGGCTTAGAATATGTAGTTTAAAAAAAAGTTTTTTTTTTAAGAACGTATTCATTCGTACTTTTTTATCGCCGTTACTACCATGATATTTTTGTGCCAGCAATAATTTTCTCAATGTTAAATAAACCTAAACGCTAATTATAATATAATATAAAGCTTCTTAGAAATGAACGGAGGCTTGTGCCTAGCCGTGAGACTTTATAAGCCTACGAATTCATCAACTGACACATTAGATTAAAAAAAAAGATTTGCCCTTAACCGAAGCGCTACACCATTGTTTAATGTGTTGAGTGATGTTTTGCAAAAGCAGATCACGCTTAAATGTGTGTGCACTGTTCACAGTCTTTCGCCGCCACTCCCGTCAAATGTGCTAAAGCAAGGGAAAGTTTGATTTAATAAAATATTTAAGAAAAATCGTCTCTTACTATCCTTTATACTTAGTATAAAGGTTGATTAAGAGAGAATGCCTTTTATCATTAAGTCCGTTATGTGTAATACTTTGTGCATTCAGGTATAAATAAATAATTCACTAATACACGGGCCTATTTATGTATGTATGGATATAATTGAATTTTATAATTCAGTTTTCACGTTCTTCTGAACTTCTGAATATGTGAGGTGGCAGTACAGCAATTACTGACACCTCAGATATTACAGACTTAATTTATACGTGTTAGAGCCATGCTGCAGCTATATTCAGCTAAATTATATATATATATATATATATATATATATATATATAATATAAAAATGAATCGGTGAATGTGTTGCTAAGCGCACATCTCGAGAGCAGCTGAACCGATTTCGCTAATTCTTTTTTTATAACATTCCTTGAAGTACGAAGATGGCTCTTACGGAAAGAAAAGTTTAAAAATTGCCTGAAAAAGTCTAAAAACGACACTTTTCTATATTCCCATACAAAAGATTCGTAATAATACTTAAAAGTCAAATTGAACTTTAATACCATACCATAAGGTTTAAGTCTTAGTGGAGGGGTTCCGGGAAGGCAAAAGTGTGTAAACCAAAAGTGACGTTAGTATCGTCTAAATATTAATATCAATATTTGTCAATATTTATACACACTGGCAGATAGCTGATGTTATAAGGAGTAACTTGGCTGCTTTTATTTTAGGGTTCCGCGAAAAATAACTCCACGCGGGCGATGTCGCGGGGAACAGCTAGTATATATATATATATATATATATATATATATATATATATATATATATATATATATATCTATGCGATAAAGTAAAGTCATACCTATATTTAAATCTGGTAGTACATTAGATCCGGCCAATATTAGACCAATTTCTGTACTACCAACATTTAGTAAAATTTTTGAAAAAATTATTTTAGCTCAGATGTTAAGTTTATTTAATATTAATAAATTGCTACATAAAAATCAATTAGGCTTTACAAGGGGTCGCTCGACAACTGACGCTGGAGTTGTGCTTATTAAACATATTTTTTGTACATGGGAGAATTCAGAGGATGCTTTGGGTATATTTTGTGACCTTTCCAAGACCTTCGACTGTGTTCACCATGAGACATTAGTCAGGAAGCTACAGTACTATGGTGTCAAGAACACGGCGCTTAAACTTATTATTATATATTTAAGTAATAGAAAGCAGAGGGTTATTATAAATGGTAAATGTTCTTCCGGGTCACCTGTACTAATGGGTGTCCCTCAGGGGTCGATTTTCGGCCCATTCCTGTTTCTGGTGTATTTTAATGACTTTCCTTACCTTGTAGGGGATAGTCATGATATAGTATTATTTGCTGATGATACTTCCTTGATTTTTAAACTTAAACGTCAATCATTTAAGTGTGACGAAATTAATTAGTACATTGGTTTAACGTTAATAATCTGCATTTGAACGAAAATAAAATTAATTGTGTTAAATTTACAACAACGAATGTTATAAATCTGAATACCAATGTGTTTTTAAATGGGGAGGAATTGAGCCCTGTTGTATCCACTGTTTTTCTTGGCATCACTCTTGACGCAAAACTTCAGTGGTGCCCCCATATATCCAAATTAGCAAGCAGACTAAGTTCTGCAGCCTATGCTGTAAAGAATATTAGAGGTCTCACTAGTGTCGAGATAGCTAGATTAGTTTATTTCAGTTATTTCCATAGCATAATGTCTTATGGAATTTTGCTATGGGGAAATGCGGCTGATCCAAAAACTATTTATGTTTTACAGAAGAGGGTCATTAGAGCTATTTACAATTTAAAACCGAGAGAGTCACTTAGAGATAAATTTAAAGAAATAAATATATTAACTTTGGCTTCTCAGTATATTTACGAAAATTTAATGTATGTTCACAAAAACAAAGATAGTTTTAGTGAAAAAAGTGATATACATTCTGTAAACACTAGGAACAAACACAAGCTAGTGATGCCAGTTTCTCGACTCCACAGAGTCAGTAATTCATTCTTGGGGCAATGTATACGCTATTACAACAAGGTCCCGGAAAGTGTACAAGTTCTCTCTATTACCAAGTTTAAATGTTTTATTAAGCTGAAACTGTATAAAAAAGGGTTATTATAGTATAAATGAATACATAGTTGATAATAATCCCTGGGAATGAGGTGGTCGCTTCCAAGCAGTTTCTAAAATAAATTTTGTAAATAGTTCGTAATCATTTATATTGTAAAATTTATTTAAAAAAAAGTATCGTTGGGTTTTTTGCTGGTTCTTCCCAGGATACAGAGTTTTTTTCGAACCAGTGGTAAAGTAAAAAATGACTTTCGATAAGATTTACACATGTAATGTATATTGAATAAAAATTATTCTATTCTATTCTATTTTATTCGTAGTATAGTGGTAGCACGAATGGGTCGGCTCGACCGAGGAAGGACCATGCACTCACAGAATACCAGCGTAAAATAGCAGCTTAACACTGCTGTGTTTCGTATGGTGAGTGTAGAGAACCGGAGACCCTGATTACTGGAAAAGAGGCATTCCATCTTAGTTCTCACGGGTGACCGCGCATCTGCATTTTGATATGCAAACGAGGATAGATGTAGATGCCTATGGGCCACAGCAACCACTTACCATCAAAAAAAATTAACAGTATGAAATAATAATAAGGGTATCAAAATAATGTCTTATAATTTATATTGTTTATCATTTTTCTACCACTTTTTTTTATATTCGGGTCAAATTTAGTAATTGATTTTAAACTAACTTCCCGATTAGAGTATATAGAAGACAACAGACAAACACTTCAATTTTATTCATATGTATAGGTTATGAAATAAAAAATAAAAAAATGCGATTGCCTACCCGCTTGCCAAGCGTGGCAACTATGGCAAATATCCTTTCTATAAGGCAATCTATGGGGGAGGCCTATGTTCTAGGCTGTAACGGCAACGGTCTAGGTTATTATCTATACATACAAATAAAATTGTTGCTTTTTTATTTAAGCTGGCTGCAGTTTTTTCTTATACTCGTAGGAATAGTGTATAGGTGTAGGTGTTCAAAGACAGTAGTAGCCACTTACCCTGCGGTGGTTAATCAAAAAACGGAGTGTTGAATTTAGTAGACGTGGCTTCTCCAACTTAACGTTTAGGTTCAGTGTGCCCATTACCATTCGGTGATCGTAACGAGTTTTCACTAGCTCGCAATCATTGAGACGTCGTCACTGAAGAGATGTCGCGTGGTCGTCATAATGAAGTCAATCTTATTTTTATTCGAACGAATCGAAATCTAATAAAGAGTCCCTCCTACACCAAGAAGTTATCTAGCTTTTGAGCACTTCATTTGAATATTACGTTCAAATATAGATTAAAAAAAACATTTTTATTCTGAATGCTTGTTTTTTTGAAAAGTTGTATCCTTGATAACAGTTTTTTATGTTCGTTATAATTGAAACATTTTATGTAATTTTCTCAGAAATTATGTAATTTTATTATAAATACAGATTTGAAAAAAATACATTTTTTTATTCTGAATGCTTCTTTTTTCGAAAAGTTTTGGCCTTGTTAACAGTTGCTTTTGTTCGTCTGAAACATGTTATGCTATTTTCTAAGAAAATAACATAACATGTTTCAGTTAACGAACTGAGGTAATTTTGTTATAAAAGCACAATAATCTTTATTAAAAGTAACTTATATTTTCCCTTTAGTGCCATATTTGATACTAATAGAGATATTAATGCCAACAAATATAGGTCGAGTTACGTCTTTTTTTTTAACTATTATTCTATAAAAAAAGAACTATACTGATATAGGATACTACATTATATGGGGGTTTGCAACCATATTTTGA